CTCCTCCGGGCTGACTCCCAGGGTGGGAGGGGGCAAGGGCATCTTCCAGGCAGAAGTATCAGCTCAGGCAAGGGCCCTGGGGCGGGCAGTGGGGTGAGTTTGAGGATCTGGAGGGTGGCTGAGGGAGAGACGGAGGGCAGAGGGGGAGCGAGGAGGGGGAGTCAGTGGGGCCCATGGGCCCGGGGCATGCGAGGGCCTTGTTTTTTATCCTGAGAGCCAAGGTGAGCTGTGGCCAGGGCTTGATCAAGACGCTGGGGGTGAAACAGGAGGCGCTCAAATCTGCAGAGTGTGACGGTCGCCCTCCACGGCTCGGCTCTCTCCTCCGCCGCATGGGTTAGTCACGGTGCCTTCCGCACGGGGTGCGGACCGAACGAGCCCGCGTGAGTTCGGAGCTGACCTGGCCTCCGCCCAGGCACTTCTGCCGTGGTGGGCCCTTCTTCCATAAAAAATATTAAAGTTAGATTTGATTACTTTATTGGCATAAAGACAAATATATTAACATTATATATTAAAACATTTTCTTCAACCTTAAAGTTTGCTTTTTCCTTAAAAGAAATGACAGCATTATCATGGGCCCCAGGAAGTTTTGTGGGCCCAAGACACATGGCTGGGCCCTCAAGGCGGGGACCGTCCTGCCACTGAGCTGCTGCTGTCGGGAGCAGGGACAGGCCAGGTGGCCAGAGGAGGAAGAAGCATCCGTGTGCTGCAGTGACTCCTTCTGCCCCTCAACCCTGCCCCTCCCATCCCGCTCCCCTTAGCCCCTCCAACCCTCCCTCCCGCCCGGGGAGTCAGGCCCCCCCCAGCAGGGCCCTCACCCTCTCCAGGAACATCCTCTGACCCGTTAGGCCCCTCCCTTGCCCTTGCCCGGCCCCGCCCCTCCCTGCCTGTCTTTCCTTCTTCTCTCTGAAGGCGCTGCCTCCCTCCAGCCTCAGCTCACCCGCCACCTCCTCTGGGAAGCCTGCCCAGGCTTCAGCCTGCATCGGCCCTGGCACATCGCTCCCTGTGGCAAGTTCATGCCTCTTCCCGCCCCCTCCCAGGGCTGGGAGCTCCCCTCCTCCCAGGGACAGTGTCTGTACGCTTGGTGGCACCTGGCACATGGTTGGCACCCAATTGAAATGTTTTGTGTAGAGAGTGAAGAAGGGGCCCGTGGGCCTGCCTTTGCCCTGGGGCCTCCTCTGACCTGCAGTGACAGCAGCCAAGCATTCTCCCTTTCACTGGGCGGTGGCCACGCGCCAGCCCATGAACTAGGTCAGGAGTTGGAGCACAGACTGGAGAGCGACCCTACCCTGCCCACAGGGACAGCAGGTGCAGGGGTGGGGGAGGTGCTGGGGCCGAGGACGTGCGGGCCGGGGGTCTGGGGAAGCACTCTGCCTGGGCAGCGGTGTGGGGGCCGAGGAGAGCCAGCCGGACCCGCGGGAGAGAGCAGTTGATGTCCCCAGGCCCCCTGTCCCTGACCCGGTGGGCCCCCATCAGGGCACAGAGGATTTGGCAGCGACTGGTGGCCAGGGGCGCGGGCCTCATTTCCACCCCAAGGTCATGGCCCAGCACTGAGGCTTGGAGCCAGTTAATCGGGTCCAGCGGAGCAAGGTGCGTGCACATCCACGGCAGGGACACAGCAGGGCTGGGTCGCCTCGCACTTGGTGGGGGCCGACCCACAGGCTCAGACCAGGCCGCCCCAGCCCCGAGGCGCCCCCTCTGTCCCAGAAACATACACACAGAATACAAAACCAGAATAAGGCTCAAGCTCCTCCCTAGACCCCCAGGGTGAGGCCGGGGCTCCGCTCACCCAGCCCCTCGTGAGCTCAAAGACCTCGACTTCCCTGGGGCAGGTTTGAGCCCCTTGGGTAGAGCCAGGACTCCCAGGCTGGAAATCCAGTGCCCGTCCCCACATCTCTGGCGGCTCAGCTGTCACCGCGCCCCAGCAGGAAGGGGTCAGGAGCCCTTTCAGACACAGGGAGGGGGCATAAGTGAAGAAAGTGAGTGATGGGCAGCTGCCCTGTTCAAGCCCCTTTCCTTCCTCCCCAGGTTCTCAGTGAGCCTCAGTTTCCCCATCTGAGAAATGGGCTAATCGCTAGTTGTTGTTTAGAGTCTGAACCCCGGCAGAGCGGGGCGGCAGGAGCGGACAGCAGAAGGCACAGGAGCCAGGAACCCAAGGCCGGATCTGGGCGGGGGGTGGGGCAGGAGGAGCCAGCCCTGGCCTGGGCAGCAGGGAGGCCAGGCGGCGCACCCAAGGCGTAGCCTGCTGGTGTCTTGGGTGCTGCAACCCCCTTTTCTCAGTGTTCTCTCCAAAGCCCAGGCCATGCCCTGGCAGCCTGGCCCAGCCGAGGACCTTAGTCAGCCTTGCGGGGGTAGCGCGGGGCCCAGCATCCAGGGTCATGGAGGGAGAGCCAGACGCGGGCTCAGAGAAAGAGCAGGGGAGCACGGGGCGCAGCCCACCGGGCCACTGCCCTTCCCCCGAGTCCCCACCCACGGGACTGCTGAGCATGGTGGCTGGAGGCAAGGGACCCTGCAGAGCAGTCTCCTGGGACACCCGCTGAGACGGGGACAAGCTAGAGACCAGGCCGCTGTGCAGCCCAGGTCTGAGCAGCAGTGTCAGCCCCACCTGCCCCTTCCCACCTGTGGCAGGCAGTGCCACCTGGTCACCTGGCAGGCCCTTCTCCCAGCTCAGCCTGGCAGAGCCCTTCCTCTGCCCCAGGCCCCCCCCCCAGCTCCCAGATATTCCTGGCCTGGTAGACAGCAGGCAGCTCACCCCAGTTCCGTCACCTGGGCAGGGTCACGCACAGAGGGGTCTGGGGGGCAGATGGGGGCTTGGCATCCCCTTCCAACAGGGGCCTGCAGAACAGCAGGTCAGGGCCCCCTCCCCTCCCGCCCCTTCGAGGCTCCCAGCCAGCCCATTGGGCACGGAGCCCTGAGAGTGGGAGCCAGCTCATTTGCAGCTCGTGTTAATTAAGAGAGGGAGGTGATGGGGGAGGTGGGGAAGGGCCACCTAGGGCAGCTTCCGACAGCCGCCAGGACTGCCTTGTGGCGGGGGCGGGGGCAGGGTGGCGCGGGAGTCATAGCCCCTCCACCGGAGACGCCCCGCCGGCTCTAGGGCAGGGCTGGCCAGACGCCCAGCCCCTTGGCCGCGTCTGGGGTGGACCTGCTGGGGTGGGGGCAGGCCTACTGTGTGCTCTGCTCCACTTGAGCGTGGAGGAGGCCGCCCGGCCCTGGCCTGGAGGGGAGCCTCCCCAGGCCAGCCCCCGGGGCGGTCTGCCTTGAGGCTGGCCTACTCTCCTGCTTGGCTTCGGAGTCAGACAGACCCCCTTCCAATCCTGCTGCTGCTGTGCGCCCCGCGACCCCTGAGCCCGGTTTCCCTTAGTCACACAAGGGGAACAGCAGCTCTTTCCTGTGGCTTTGTTATGACAGTAAACAGGATCACTTGTGTGAAGTGCTCGCTCTGTCCTGTGCCTGGGCAGAGGCCACCTCCTGGGCTGTTTCAGGCCCAGCCCCTCGGCCGCTGGCCTGTCCGCAGGGGCGTCCCTCGGGGCCCCCTCCTGCTTTCACGGGGGCCTGGCCCGGCCGCCTCGCCCGCCTCCCCCGAGCCCCCCGCAGCCCCCGGCCCTGCTCTGGGAGCGCCCAGCCGCTCCTCGTCTCTCCATCTTAATTAGCTGCTTGTATTAATCTGGCAAGTAACGTGGCAACTAGCAGCCCTGGGTTTTCGGGCTGTGGAATTAATTATTCCCCAGACGAGGAGCTGTCAGCTGTGGGAGACCAGCCACTCAGAGCCGCCGACACCACTTAGCAGCGTCCGCAGCTTCCGAGGGGCACCCGGGGCCTGCAGCCTGGCCAGCCGGAAGCGCCCCCGCTCCTGGCCCGGGCTCTGCTGCGCGTGCCCCTCACACAGCACGACCTGGGGAGGTAGGGCGGGTGCCAGAGCGGTGTGGGGCTGGAGGCCCTGCCTGGGAGCCAGGCTCCTGGGGCCCCAGGGGCTGCGGTGCAGCCGGTCCCCCTCTGGGCAGCACCAGGGCCTGGGGCCTGCCCGCCCTCCTCTGCCATCCTCCGCCCTCATTAGCGCCAGCAGCTACCCCAGGTGCAGCTGTGTGGCCAGGAACCGGAGCCCCTGCTGTGGAGGGGCGCTGACCGGAACGGGCCTCACATTCCAGTGGAGAGGCTGCCAGCTTCACTTTGCCCCCACGTCAGCCCCATGGGGAGGTGGCGGGGGGCAGCCAGCCCAGCAGAGCCAGATGGACAGAGCAGCCCCAGGAGCTGGCAGGCCAGCTCTGGTCAAGGGACAGGGCAAGGGCCAGAGCTCCCTTGTCCCTTTCTCTCTGAGGAAACTGAGGCACAGAGGAAAGTGACTCTCAAGTCACCCGTCTGTTGGCCTGGGCTTGAGTACCCTGGGCCCTCACCCTGGGCCCTCACCGCGCCGCCCAGAGCTGGGCCCTCACCTTGCACACAGTCGCCGTCATCTGTTAGGCACCCCCAGCCCCGGTCCATGGTCTCCTGCTCTCCCCCAGCCCCGTCGATCGCTGACCAAGTCTGCAATAATAGTTTGTTTTGTGGCAGCTTCATGTCTGTGTCCCTCTGTAGCTGGTGAGCCCCCCAGGCAGGGACCAGGAGGGCCCTGTTCGTCCCACATCTCTGCACCAGGCCTGGCTCAGGTCGGCCTCAGGAGATACTGTGGGGCCAAAGAATGAAAGAATGAATGAATGAACGAATAGACAGGCGTGGTCGCAGGTCATCTGCCACTTGAGACCCCACATGCAGCTGCTTCCGGGGTGAGCAGGCAGGACCCTGGTGGCTCTGCGGCCCTCCCTCACCACTACAAACCCCAGGCCCCCTTAGGCATCCGTGGACGAGGAAGTCCCGCCCCTTCCCCTCCGCCTTCTCGGCACTGCCTCAGAGGAGACCCTGCGCCCAGAGACGGGAGGCCCAGCAGGCAGCCCCTCCGCACCCCCCACACAGCCTGCCCCACCAGCCACTCCCTGACTGACCGGCCTTTTCTGTCTCTTTTCTTGCAGCCAACAGCTCCCTGCTCGGAGGAGGCGGCGGTGAGTGAATCCTTCCTGCGGTCTGGGGACGCGGGCGTGGGGGGCGCGGGGCTGGGTGCTGCGGCTCCTCCACAGCTGCTTCTCTCCTCCGGCCCGGCCCGGCCCGGCCCGCCCCGCCCCCGTGCCCAGCTTGTTACCGTCGGCACTGCCACGGCCTGCCTCCCATCGCCCCCGCCGTGTCCCCGCTCTCCTTTTCTGCCTCCCTCCCTCTCGGTCTTGTCTGGTCTACCGACCGACCGTCACTGTAGGCAAAGCCAGACACTTGGATGGCAGCCCTGGGCCCCTCACTGCTGGGTGACCTGAACAGAGGCCTCCTGGTTTGTTCCTGGGAGGGCGAGGGGGACATGTGGGGCTTTAAAAGGCCCGGGCCGGGGACTGGGATCCGCGGGTGTGGGGGGGAAAGCCAGCCCTGCTCCTGACCCTGACGTGCCCTCGATATGCTCTGCGCCCCTTTGGCCTCAGTTTCCCTGCCTGGAAGGGCAAAATTACCCTCTGTGCTCTTGTGCAAAACCAGGCCAAGGTCTCCCAGTCAGGGAGAGCCCTGCCAACCGCTAACCCTTGAGAACGCCGGCGTGTTCCCTGTCGGTGGTGACCACCAGGAGGCGGGGTTCCCACGGGGCCAAGTGGGCAGGAGGTCAGAAGTCAGGGTGGGCTCCGTGGCCAGGCCGGGGTCAGCAGGGGCCGCGGGAGGGGGCAGGCCCGACCTCCCAGGGCCTCCTGCCCGGCCAGCAGTGCCCAGGCTACCGCGCCAGCCCCACGGCCCTGGCCCCGGGCCGCTCCGGCCGGGCTGCCCGCTGTCGGCGCCGGCAGCAGGATGATTGGTGAGGCAGGGGGCAGGGGTTAATGCGCCGTCGGATAAATCCCGGGGGCTGTGTTTACGGCAGCGGTGGCGGGGCCCAGGCCAGGTTTTAAAAGGGGGAAAAATAAAAGGGGCAGCGAAGGTCAGGAATAAATAAGAGCGGCACTAAGAGCTGTCGGTGACCGGCCAGGACGTGCCGGGGGGGTCTGTTTGTGGCTGGAGATGTTTTCCCTCCGTCCCTCCCTCCCCACCTCTCCTCCAGCTGTCCCTGTGGAGGTCACAGCTACCCTGGAGGCCTCACAGAATGCGGGGGCTTCGCTGGAGGACTCGGGTGGGCACAGACAGGCCAGCTAGGACCCGCTTCCAAAGCCTGTCCTTTTGGAGGAGGCTGGGGCCCTGTTGATTTGATGCCCGCCCTGCTCTGTCCACAGCCACCCTCGCCTCCCTCCGCTCATTCGTCACCTGGTGCCTGAGCACCTACTGTGAGCCAGGCCTTGAACTGGGCGCTGGGACAGATCTGCCGGGCACCAGGGGGCCTGGTCTCTGCTCACCGTCCCAGAGCGCAAAGCCCAGATGAGAGCACCCCTTGTTACACAGGGTGGCCTGTGTGTGTTGGAGGTGCTCACAAGTAGGGTGGGGCTTGGCGAGGAGCACCTGTCCAGGCTGGGGCACCAGGTGGCTCCTGGAAGGAGGTGGCGCCCCCACTGGCCTGCGCGGATTGGGTCGGAGGGAGCCGGTGGGGAGCAGTGGGAAGGGTGTGCTGAGAAAAGGGAGGGAGGGCCTGGGGGCGCCTGACTCTCAGGAGAGGGGAGGTCCGAGGGGGGGGAGGAGAGGAGGGGAGGGGAGGGGGGAGGCAAGGCGGGAGCCTGAGGCCACCTGAGGGGCTGGATTTTTAGCCATTCAGTGTCTGAAGATAAGGTTCACCAGAAGGTGTGGGCCTTCTAATTCCTGGGTCCGGTGACATCCCTCCTCTGCGCAAAACTCCTCCAAGGCCAAGGCCTACTTGTCCCTGGCTGCCTCTCGGACTCCCCACCACACGGCCGCCCTTCCCCCTCTGCGCCGGCCACCCTGGCCTTCCTTCCGAGAGCAGGCCTGGCCGGCTCCTGCCTCAGGGCCTTTGCACAGGCTGTTCCCGCTGCCCAGAACACTCTTCCTCACGTGGCCATGCGGCTACTCCTTTCACTTCTTACAAGCCTTTGCTTGCATGGTGCCTTCTCGCTGGGGCCCATGCCGACCCGGAATTGAAACTGCAGCTGCCTGCCTGCCTGCCCGCCCACCTAGCCTCCTGGCCCCTCACGCTGCTCTAGTGTTTCTTTCCCTTATGGCGCCCCCTCCTGACCTGCCATTTCATTTACTTGTTTATCACATCCATTGTTTACTGTCTGTCCCCCTGAGAACGAGAGCTCTCAGGGCATGGTCGTGTCTCCAGCACCTGGAGGGGGTGTCTGGCCGGCGGAGCAGGTGCTCAGTAAAGGGCGGTGGAATGAATAAATGAACAACAGGTGAAGGCCGGGATGGCCTCACGTGTTAAGAGAAGAACTTGCTGGCGAGGTGTGGGGACCACTGAGGTTTTAGCAGGGCAGGGTGTGGCTCGTAGGTGGCCTGGTGACCTCACTCTGGGAGGTCAAAGGGCACCTGCTCTGGCCAGACGAAGCAGGGAGGCCCCGTAGGGGTCCTTCCAACCCCCCTTCCTGCGTCATTGAGGGCGAGCGGGGGCTGGAGCAGCCCCCAATGCGGCCTGACTGACGCAGAGATGGATGGGGCGAGCCAGGACCCGGGAGGAAGTGGGCCCGGAGTCTAGCCTTTTAACGCTGGCTGAGATTTATGGAGCCGCCGCCAGTACTCGCTGGGCCTGTCACTCTGCTAATGTGATTGGAACAAGGTGGAGGTGGTAGGGAGGGGCCCGGGGCTGGGGCAAGGCTGGGGCTGAGGGGGCCGGTCATGCTCCTGGGGCTGGGAGGGAGAGGGCCCCAATCCCTGGGACGTCTCTGCCCTCAGGGCTGCCCCCGTGCCCTGCCCCAGGCTCACCCCAGCCTCACCCCACCCTCCTTCCCTTCCAGGGCGGGGGCAGAGGCAGGATAGCCTGGGCCGGGAGGCCCGAGCTCCCAGCTGACTCTGCCCAGACGACTCCGGTCTTCCCAGGTGGGCCCTGAAGTTCCACCCTTTTCTCCTGAGTCCACCATGAGGGGTTCAGGCCTCTACCCACCTCCGCCCATTGATTTGCCCACCCACCTACCCACCCTGCTCCCATCACCACCCGGCCACCCAGCCACACAGGCATTTAACGAGCACCAGCCCCACCTGGCCTGCTCTGGCCGCTGGCGCGGCTGCCTGGCCAGCCCAGCTGCCCCCCTCACCTGCTCTGCGCCTTTTCCACAGCACTGACCCCCCGAACAGACAGTGTCTGGGGCTTGTTCTCTCTCTCTCTCTCTTTTTTTTTTTAAAGATTTTATTTATTCATTTTTAGAGAGGGGAAGAGAAGGAGAAAGAGGGAGAGAAACATCAATGTGTGGTTGCTTCTCTCACGCCCCCTACTGGGGACCTGGCCCGCAACCCAGGCACGGACCCTGACTGGGAATCCAACCCACAACCCTTTCATTTGCAGGCCGGCACTCAGTCCAATGAGCCACACCAGCCAGGGCGAGGGGCGTATTCTCATTGCCTGTCTCCCCTAGAATGTACTCTCCTCAGGAGCAGGGTGCTGGGGGATTTCGCAGGGCAGTTAGTTGCACGCTCTGTGTGCTGGGTCCTGCCCTAGGAGCCCTAACTGCCCTGGGGAGCTCTGCCAGCCCTGCGCGGGCGGCGGGGGAGGGGGGGCGGGGGGAAGGACAGCAGGATAAAGCAGCAGGGCCTGGGGCAGCTATCAGCTCAGAAGGAGGCTCTCAAAAGGGGGGCAGGGGCCTGGGCTGCTGCTTTTTTTTTTTTTTTTTAATTGATTTGAGAGAGGCAGAGAAACACCAATCTGTTGTTCCACTTATTCAGGCATCCATTGGTTGCTTCTTAGATATGCCCTGAGCAAGGATCGAACCCACAGCCTTGGCATATCAGAACCATGCTCTAACCAGCTGAGCCACCCAGCCAGGGCTGCTGAGTGGCCTGGCCCGCAGGCCTCTGGTGCATCGAGCTGGATTTTACTGCTAGGGTGTGATGGTTCAGAGTGGGAGCGGCCTGCAGCCTCCGGGGAGCGGGGAAGGGCCGGTGGGGCACCCCCAGCCTCAGTGAAAGCCCCCGGGGGCTGCTGGGGCCAAAAGGACTTGCGCCACAGGGTCCGGGGCTCCTGGGCTTGCCTCACACTGGGGCCGAGCCCCCAGCAGGCCGTGGGGCCTCGCTAGGTGATTCTGGCAGCAGCGAGTCTTGGGGGAGCGCCCCCTCCCCATTCTTTCCCAGGGTGCTTTCTGAGTGTGGGCGTACGGCAGGGAGTGCCTGAGTCCAACACCGGGACTTGGGACTCGGTTCTGCCCTCACAGAGACCCATTTTGGTAGAAAGCTTCCCAGCAGAGGGGGCATTTGACTTGGGCCCTAACGGCTGAATAGGAGCTCAACAGGTACAGAGGGTGGAGAGGTGCACCAGGTGGAGGGCCCAGAGTCTGCAGCAGAGGGGCCCGATGGGGCTGGGCAGCCCCCCCGCCCCCGCCTCCCTCAGGCCTGGAAGCCACCAGGCGCTCTTCTGCTCTCCCACCTCCCTCCTGGAGAGCCTTTTACTGGCTTGATAAAAAAAAAATAAAAAAAAAATTTTAACACTCTCTTATTGTATGGTAAGAAGGGAGGCGGGCCCTAAATCAGGATGGGCATCGACAGGGCCCTGACGTGTGTCTCTCCTGTTTATTAGGACTGAAATGTTTACCCGGCGATAAGGAGCTGGCTTTCTCGGGGAGATTTGTGCGCGCTTTTTCAATTACCCCTCGTCTTTCTCTGCCACTTTTGCACTAAAGGGATAATAAATGTATCGGAGCGTTTCAATTATTCATCTAAATCATGACTGCGCCTGCCACGGCCAAGCTTTAGTGACAGATTAATTCAGGGACGCCTTCCTCCGCTTGCATGGCCGCCATCTCTGCTCCCGCCCGGCCAGCGCCCCGAAGGGCTGGCCGGAGGGTCGATGGGGCCGCCATCAGGCAGGTCGCTGACAGGTGCAGGTGGCAGAGCAGGATGGAGCCCCCACCCCTCCCACACCCACTCTCACACTCACAGCCAGTGACAC